TGGGTCCTAAGCCTCTCCATGGGGCCCAGTGGCCATACTCTCTCAATATAGGTACTCTAGAACTTTGTAGTTGTCGCTATCTTGTTTGTTTACACTGGGCAAAACTAGGAGCGGAGGGGCTAGGGTTTGTTTACATTGGCTCAACTTTGGGACTCCGTTATAGCCGACCAATCAGAGAGCGGCACACTTTTTCTGTAGTAAATGGGTTGAGATGGCAATACTCTCCCGTGTACAGGTGCTATAGTTGAAACAACCCCGAAACGTCCCATAGGCTTTGTATTGGGCGTGCTTGTCTCAGTTTTGCGTCGCGACAGGCTGATTTTTTTAAATTAATAGACAAAGCGACGGACAGAACGTTTTTTCAACAAATTATTATTGTTACAGTATTCTGGAAAGAATAAAAAAAATATTGTGAAATGAAAATTTGTCCTCAAAATTAAGTGCGACTGCTGTAAAATTATAGGAGTACTAGCGACCCGTNCCAGGCCGAGGGACGGGCGAAAAACGGAACCACCCCCGGGGCCCGTAGCAACCCCCCTGGGGGTGGGAACGGGAAAACCCGCGGGGGGAACGGAGACCCGGCCGCGGGGGGTCCGCCGAACGAACATCAAGGGCGCGGGACGCGCTGGGACGGCGTGGCGGGGACCGATGTTCAGAGGGTCGCGGGGTAAATCGTATAACTTTATATAAGAGATTTCTAAAATGTAAAGAAAGGAAAGAGAAAAATAAAAAACGAATAAAGAAAAAAATGAAAAGAAAAAAGAAGGAAAGAAAGGAAAGGAAAGAAAAAAGAAAAGAAGAATGAAAGAAAAACAGGAAAAAATAAAAGAAATAGGTAAAAAAGAAATGAAAATTTAAAAAATAAAAAAGAGGAGTTTTTCAGAAAATTATTTTCGAAAATAGAAGAAATTTGGCAACGTTTGAATGCTCTTAAGACGTTCTCCCTGAGCCTGAAGCGTGGCAACTGGAATCGCGAGACGTCATAAACAACCCCTTCCCTCCCCCACGGAGCCGGCAAAACCGAGCAACCGCGGGGGTGCTATAGAGGGGGTGTGGAGTTAATTTGTCGGATTAATTCTCTGTTTTGAGTGGGGTTGTGGTGCGGGCTCGAAGCNGGGGGGGGGGGGGGGGGGGGGGGGGAGGGCTTCGGAGTCCGCGCGGATTTATGGAGCTTGTTGATTGTTGATTCGGCATTTAAATTGATTGTACCTATTTAACTGCGGCTAATACGATTTCCCCGTCGACGCTGGTGCTAAGTTGCTCAAATCGCCGCCCCCCGAACGTAGAAGCGTACCTCGATTTCCGCGTGATCTCCAGAAAGCACGGATTTATATGCAAAACAGGGCTCACGTGAAAATCAGGATATGCCTTTACGTCAGAAGGGTGACAAAATCCTCATCGACTCGCAAATCGTACGGTTCGTGATACGAATTTAACGTGACAACCTGCGTGTTTGACTTTTTGTTAAGTGAACGAGCGTCTCTGTTTCAGTTTTGCGTCGCGACGGACCGGTTTTTTAAATTGATAGACAAAGCGATGGACAAAGAAGACATAGGGTGTCTGCCATGCAACGCAAAAACGCCGTAAATGCCATTTTAAATTTTTTGGAAACAACGTATCATAGCAAAAAACTCGGGTACCTTGGGACAATGTTTTTACAGAACTCCTTCGCAAATACTATCGAGAACTTAACCTGAAAATTTGAGGTGCATGGGTAAAATTTTTTTTATTTTATTAAGTGTTAGGTTCCAAAAAACGCAGGGAAATCTTGATGGATTTATGGCGTTCTTGCATAGTATGACGGTAGTGTGGAGCTATCCTATTGGTTAACATGGGTGGTTCTTATAGACTAAGGGAAAAAATGATGGACTAACTAAACGGTCTCTCGTCAGTTGCCGTTAGTCAGTCTATTGCCTACTTCATTTGTCCATTGCAACCGCGCCCGCTTTCACCAATAGAATCTCTCCATATCCTTGTGTCTACTTTGTCTATCTATTTGTCTACTAATTTCAATTTCACCAAAACTCTGCACAGAATAAAAAAAAATTATTTAAAATTCAAAAAAAAAATTTCGTCGGCTCTTTTTGAAAAAGTAAAGTATGGGATGACCGAAGTGAGAAGCCACGTACTTCCCTTTTAATTGCGACGTTGCAGACTTCCGGTTTCACGTTATAATTTATACAAACTGATTGCGGTAGACGCAGTCAACGACAGAATGTTGGAGTTTTTTTTGCCAACGTTTACTTGCTACGCTTGTTACTTTCACCTTTATGCTGAATTTTTTAACGCACGTTGGCAAAAAAAAGCTCCAACATTTTATAATTTATTTTGAAAACCGGTAAATGTAAGTTCTTAAAAACTATCTCTCTGTTCTTCTCTGTGTTAAAAGTTTCTCTCTCTGATAGAGGAATATCCTGTTTAATTGTACGGTATAAAGTTGGTTATGTCTTTCAGGAGCGGAAATGTTGAAATATCGAATGAAGATACGCGATGTTGCACTTCAGCCATCGATATGATATGCAATCTGAAAGGTCGCAAATCGTAACAAGTGTTTCGCGACTTTCATCATCAATGCTTCTCCTCATCGATATTGCCCCTTCTAAAAGCGCTACCAGCAAAAATAGATACTCGGGCGTCGTAGCAATTAATCGTTCAATGAAGGCGCTTTACAGAGCCTTGGCAGACAACAATCAGACAACGACAAGTCAAAACACGATTTCATTTTTCAATAATAATATGTGTCCATCGATCTGCTATCTCGTGTCATGAAAAGGCATAAGAGTCTTCCGTCATTATTTTAACCTGATATTATATGGACCATATTTTGCAATTAGGAACTATAATATCTGACTCATTTGTAAACTCACTTATCTGCATATAGAAACTAAGGCACATACGTTGTTTCAAAAGTGAGTTAGAAATTGTGGTTGCTAACTGCGAGATGTAGTCATAAAAGCCTTTCTTCGTACGAAGTTCCTTGCGCTGAAAACTGGGCTTATTTCTGCCAAACGGAACCAGAGACAGCGGGCTGGTCATTGGACTTGATGGACAAAGCAGTAGACAAATACAATAGAAAGGATATGGAAGGATCCTATCGGTAGAAGCGAGTGGTTGCAATGGACAAAGGACGTAGGTAATAGACTAACTAACAGCAACCCACGAACCTGACAGTCCATCATTTACCCCTTTAGTGTAAAAGAACCACCCATTTCAACCAATAGGATCGCTCTATACTCCCTATGTCTTCTTTGTCTATAGCTTTGTCTATAAATTTCAATAATCGGCCAGCAGGTGGAAACGAAGGGGTGTGCTCGTTAATCGAGGGCCGTAAGAATGAATGGGAATTATAAATCGCCAGTGACGTCAGCGACAATGAAGCCGTCTCCGTTGTTGCTCTAACTCGGCACTAACTCATGTCTGGATTTTTTAAAAAACCAAACACGCAATTTGGCCTATGGAACGGCGCGGCATAGAGAGCAATGATGACGAGGACTTGAGATGAAAAGGAGAAGCCCTCAGCGCGGCGATCGGCATGTAAGTCATGTAATACATATTAGCGCATACAAGACTGCATGAATACTTCACTCATTGCGTCAGATACAGTGCAGTTAGCAGCGGTCGGCGTGAATAGCATAGCGCGTACAAGACTGCATGAATACTTCACGCATTGCGTCAAACACAGTGTGGTCAGCGCGACGCGGCGGCGGAAGTTAAAATTATTAAACCACATTAATGTTTGTTCTTTCATAATTTTTTCGTTCAATACTTATAAATGAAAGGCCTTTTCCACACGGAGACAGGTTTAGGGAACTTAACTTTCGCCCAGAGTTTCGTGAACTTTTGCTGATAGTGTTGATATGGCTTCCGCAAAAAATGTGTCCAACACGAGTAAATGCGTCTTATGCACTCCTCCCACTCCAGCACGTTCACTTGATGGTTTTTCTTGGTGCTTCAGAACGAATGAGAAGGGGGCGGCAAAATATATAGGCGGCCCATGGGAGGCAAGTGGGTAAATCCGACCCTGTACTACTGATGATATTATAAAATCATTTCTTTGATTTCGAATTATGCTGATTAAAATAGATAGTCCAAGAACTCTCTCCGTAATGGAGATGTTGCATATGTGAGGAATTTGCGATTTGACTGTTGATTCATGTGTAAAAGTTCGCGAGAAACACGATGGTGCCACTGGTTTTCTCTGAAATCAACTTTCAAACTAAAAAAAAGCTCTCAAGTTGAGGCCAACATGGAGGGGATATCCAACGCTATCCTGAGAGTCCACCTCTACATCAAAACAAACTCTCCATGCAAAGATAGGGAGCAAATACATTAGCAGTGATGCCGTGTTTTCAGTTTTAGAGTCTCCAAATAAAGTGGCAGCCCTGTCAATGCTCCCAATCTTTGCATGGAGAGTTTGTCTTGATGTAGAGGTGGACTCTCAGGATAGCGTGGGATATCCCCTCCATTTTGGCCTCAACTTGAGAGCTTTTTTTGAGTTTGAGAGTTAAGTTCAGAGAAAAACAGTGGCCACACCGTGTTTCTCGCGAATTTTTACGTAAGAATCAACAGTCAAATCGCAAATCCCTCACACATGCAACATCTCCATTGTAGTTGTTTTATAGTTCAGTTTAGCAGAAACACGTGTAACTGTAAAAAGCTGCTCCGAGCGCCGAATTCTTTCCCAAGACTGTCCCCTCGGAGGAATCCACCGTCAAAACTCACCCCGCGTTTTAATCAACCCCGACGGGAAGGCGGGGGGCTAGGGGGGCCGAAAAATCCCACCACATGCCAAGTGAGGAAATGACGGGATGCTGCGCTCCGAGGGTGGGGGGAGGGGGTCGGAGCGCGGATGACACGAGTTGAGTGAAAAGGGAAGAGGGCTTTTCCGCGATCCGCGCAGGCGGCGGT